CCCGAAACCAGTTTTTCAAGGGGGCTGGCATGAATATCGCCGCCACAGAGGTCTCAAAGCGGGTGATAAAATTACCTTTTGGGCAGATGGCGGCAACTACAGCATCCAAGCAGAAAGGAAAATCACACTGTTGGGTCGAGAGGTCTGGACTAGTGAGTTCCAGCATTGACAAGCAGCTGGTTGATGTTTTTGTTTTGGGAATTATAATCGTGGCAGCTTAAGTTAAAGTATCTTGTTAATTTTGTTTCGTGGAGTTGTGTCTGTTTCCAGTTGGGGTTAGTTAAATGTTATGTTCTGAAATTTGAATGTTTGTTGGTTTTGATTTGATGTGTAATTGCATATGTCTAAGTTATAACTCTACTCTTTTTTTTTCAATCATCGTCTTCTCCAAAAAAAATTAAGATAGCAAGAACATAGAAACAGAGTACTCTGCTCTGCTGTGTTTTCCAAACTTAATTTATTCTGATTGATGGTGAATACTAAATATTTACTATCAATTTTTAGTACAAAAATAATATAACTATAACACCATATTATAACCCTCAAATAATAACATGTGGATTTTTTTTTGTTTTGTTTTTGAAGTCATTTATAATATTATATATATTTACTTATTATTTCATTCTCAATATTATTAATAATGTGTAAAGATTAATTCATTTTTTTAAACCTTTAAGCATAAATATATCATAGAAATTTTTTGAATTTATAACCAGAGAAACTTAAGCAACGAAAGCATCTAGTAAACTCTGGGCAAAAAGAAAAAATAAAAAAGAATCTAGTAGACTGTGATTGTTCATATATTTGAGTGTCACTATCAACAACCCTTGTAAATACGCTCTGCCTGTAAAAGTGGTGGTTTGCAAGCATTTAAATAATTAGTCAGACTAAAAGTCTAAATAATTATTCAAAAAAGAGTTAAAAAGGCAAATCCGGGCCCAGCCACGAGGCTTCACCACGAGCACTTTTTAAATAGGCGCGTAACTCTTCCAATTCGTGCGACTTGAAGCTTAATTTGTGTATCAGGTAAATTTAATTGTTTTAACATCAAATAATTATATGAGAAAAGGAAAAATTAAAATATTTTAATATTAAAAATATTAAAATACCTAATATTAGCTTTAACTTTATTAAATTTGTTATGTA